TATTACTTATTTTTGTTTTTGTTTACTTCTTTCCAAAATGTTGTTCTTTGTCAGAATTAGCTTTCTTTGTCAAAAAAAATTAATAGAATACAAAAAAAATTAATTGAACAAATTCATTAACAAACAAATCTATTAGCCACTTTAATTGGTCAATGAGGTTTAACATATACTAGTACAACGTCCGTGTATTACACGGGTGCTTGCTAATTTTTTTTCTTAAAATCTAAAATTAATAAGAAAAAGTAGTTGAAAATTTAAATATCTTTTATTAAAATATATATATATTATTATATATTTAGTATGACACTTTTTATTTGTAAAACTTACGTGTTATATTATAATAATTTTTTAAACTTACAACATGTAACTACATTGAACATAAATATATCAATTGTGAAATAATTTTATTTTTCTAATGAATTTTAATAAATATTATTATTTTTTATTATTATAAAGATAAATATAATTTATTTATTGCATATATACAATATGGATGTCAAATCAAAAATCATCAAAAGATGATTAATTTGATATATTATATATGTAAAACCGATAAAAAATACAAAAGTTACGCCATCATTATTTTTACTATTATCCTCAAGTCAAAACCTTCATTTGCTGCTAAACTAAGTCTATCATCCTTCATTAATCCAATAAATAAAACTATAATAAAAAATTGTGTGACCTTTTTTTAAAAATCTAATCTATTTGGCAATCACAAGGTACGCCGTACGTGCTTCTTTAATTATACTATAGTTACGCCATCTCCAGCCCTTATGATCTCTACTCTAACGCGAATTTTACTTTACTGTAGAGTCAAGTGAAACATTCATCTCCAACTCTTATCTCTACATTTTACTCTACATCAAGTATATTATTTTTTTATTCATTATTATTTCAAATAAATTGGTATATATATGTATATTTAATCTCATATAAATATATTTCCTAAATAATAAAAATATATTTTATTTATTTTTAATTTAAATGAATTGGTATATAGATGTATATTTAATTTTAGATAAAACATTTATTACACGAAATAATAAAGTATACTTTATTTATTTTTACTTTAAATAAATTAGTATATTTACAAATATTTAATCTTATATAATTGTTTATTACCAAAAATTAAGAAATGTTTATGTATAACAACACGTTTCAATGCATTAAATTTTTATTCATATATCAGTATTAAAAAATTGCAAAATAAAATTATAATAGATCAATCGATAAATAAAAAACACAAAATTATTTAACATAAAAAATAAATTCTAAAAAGTTATTTAGCATAAAAATACACTTATTAATACACATTATACAGAAATTTATCATTAATGTTACAGAAAGAAGAAGAAAAAAATAAAATACTCGCGTAATTGCTACAGTGTTGCACTAGAACTGGCGCAACACTATTCATACATATGATGTAGAGATAAAATCAAGCAGGAGAAGATTTTTCATTCTACTCGAACGTTTTGTCCCATTCTAGAGCAGCGCTAGAGTTGGTCTTACATAATTAAACAACACTCATATATAGACAAGAAAATATTGGTGTATGAAAAAATTATTTTTTTCCATGATATGACAGATAAAAATCGTGTGATGTAAATGTAAGTGGGCGGGTGTGATAAAGTGGGGGACAGTGACGACTTTCTAGACACCAAAATTTTCCAGGATAATATATATTGGCCATTCGTGTTTTATTTTATTTTTCATTTTTTAATTTTGGCTTTATTTTTTTTTTTTTTTTTTTTTTTTTTTTTTTT